GGTAGCCTTTAAACAACATCTGTACCTCCTTAAACATTTGGTCGTGGCTACAAAGCTCCCTAGCCTGGATGTTTCCTATTGCACTGAGTACTCTAGAATGAGACTCACTATACTGAGCACTTAGGATCATGTTTGAAGTAGAGCTTTTGATGGGCTGTTTGCTGGCTGGGGTCTTAGCTGCCTTGGAAACCTTACGCTTGTCATTCACAATATTTAGTCTCTTTGTTGAAGCAGAGTGTTTTTAACCTGGATGATTTTCTAAATTCCCCAAAAGCAAAGAGGCAAAGTTCATTCCTTCTGGCAAAGTCAATCAGAAAAGAAGACTTTCTGAAAGAATGTAAGAAAATGAAAATGAAGAGAGAGATGTTATAGGCAAAATAAACAAGATAGAGTTCATAAGAGTCCTGATCACATTCCTGGATGCTGCACTTCAGCACTAGAGCTGGAGCAATGCTTGTTTTCCCTGCAGTTCCTGCCTGCAGGTGTATGAAGGCACTTAACAGAAAACACTCAGGAAAAAGTCCCTTGCTGGAGGCCACTTAAAAAATACAAAAATAATGTTGTAGCCAAAGTTAAATACTTCATTACGATACATAACCAACCATGTAGTAGCTTTCTTAAACTTAATTATGTGAAAATTGGCTCCCATAGTGACAGCCAACATGTCCATAGAAGCTCCTGTGATCTGGTGTAGCTCCTATGCAGTCATCTCCTAACCCAGCAAGCTAGTTAGCATTAGACATATGCTACAAGAGTTGCTATTAGGGGACAGAGTTTGTAAAACAAATGTGGAATTTGTCTTATTGATACTTGTCATTGCTTTTTTTTTTTTTTCTTGTGACACTGTATCATGTTTCTCAGGTTAGTCTCTTACTTGCTATGTAGTTCAGGAAGACCCTGAATTCTGACCCTACTCTTTCCACCTACCTTCTTCTGGAATGAAAAGAGAGTGTCCCTACTCCCAGCTTATGAGTTATGGGGGATTATTCCAAGCATTTTGCATATGCTATGCAGACACTGAAAATTACCTTCCAAACTGGAATTTTTGAGATAGATAGTAGCTTCTATCAATGCTTACCCCAAACTATAAATAGATCTATGAAACTAAGAAACAATCAGAACCCGAGTCAAGGGCAAAATGGGTTCGAAGGGTAAAACAGGCTGGTAGATGGCTGTGTTCTTTATTGGTCTTAGTTTATCTATTTTGCTCAACCATACAACCTTTACCCATAAACTTTTTCTCTCTTTCAATTGTTTCCTTTCCTCAGGCCTTCCCTTTCTGTCTAATACATTATACATTATATTTACTAATTCCACTTTGTACATGGAACACACTCACTACAATGGTGAACGACACAGAGTCTTCGTTCTCTTTCACTTCTACAAGGGCAAAGGGTAGAACTTTGTAATCTCCCAGATGAGTAAGTCTTGCTTTGAGGAAGCAAAAGGATCATGAGAGAAGAGATCTTGTATACTTTTAGAATCATCTACAAAACCTCCTTTGTGTTTCTGATGAGCAAACTTCTTAAAAGAAAGATAATGAGCAACGAGAATGAGAAGAAGCTGTCTCATTGGGGCAGGGGTACTGGGGAGCCTTGGAGGGAGCAAATGGAGGTGGAGATGATCATGATATTGTAAACATATATAAAAATCTGCAGAGAATAAATTGAATACTGTTTTTAAAAGTTAGAAATGGGGAAAAACCTTTACACTCAACCTGGAACTTTTTAGAGTTTGGCCAACAAAGGCATGATATTAAACTCAGTCTGGTGGCATTACTCCATACTTTGCCATAACGGGTCACCCATTCTACTTCATAAGAAATCAAATCTAGTTTTATGGTGACAGCACAGTTCTCTGAAATCGGGGCAGTTCCCAGAGCATGGAAGATCTCTATTTATTCAGAGACACCGTATCCTTCCATGTTCCACCTAAGCTCCATAAGCTTTAAAGCTATTATTGAGGAAAACCTTTCAAACTTTTAGGTGCTTATGATGACTAAATTTATCCAGCAATGACTATAGAAACACAGCATCTAGTATGCATGTGTACTCTGTTTCTGTCTCATCAGCAAAACCCATAGAATTCACCAACTGGTAGTTTAAGGAATAACTTTTTGGATCTTACCTGCTTGGTAGTCATCCAACATATTCTTCCCATTTGCTCAAAGACCAACTGGTTCCAAATTTATATAAAGGGTTTGAGCAGTTAAACTCAGCAGAAAACGGAAGGGTTTGGAGAGTAGATTGATCCAAATGTCATACACAGGAACTTAAAAGGAAGATAAAGACACCTTTGAGTTATTTTTGCTGTGTAGAAGGACATTTTCTTATTAACCATTCAGGACTCAGGAAGAGCCAGAATGTCAGCGTAAAACACCCAATCTGGGGGGGGGAGGGGAGTTTGGGAAAAATATGTATAAATGAAAATACTTTATTGGTTTTTCAAACATGTTAATTTTAAACATTGATAATTCAGAAACTAAAAACGGAACCGCATAACCTATTTAAATATCATCTTGTGCAATGGTTTTATTAACCTTTTCATTATATTTCGAAAAAGTTAAGTGTGGCAAAATGTTGCTCTTGATAATTAGTTCAGTTTGACCTATACATATATTAAAACAAGATTTGCTGTTTAGATAAAATAGCTTAACTTTATATTATACAAATATATACACATGTTTGTAAACTGAATGCCTAAGTGTAATGAATCCTTCGATTTTTGTTTCTGCACTCTTCATGCAGAAGACTTTGAAATTTAGACTTGGGCACGAATTAGTGACTTTGACCTCTTTTTATATTTTTTTGTTCTATAGTATATTAGTAAGTACAATCTATTCTATATCGTCATAATTTAGCCACTAGAATACCTCATATAAAAGATTGTGTTGTTTGGGACAAAATGCATGCCTATATCACTAAATAAACTTACCGTTCACAAACATGGTATTAATCTAACATTTACTCAGGGTAATATGATGTCTAGTCCAAACAAAAAGCCTCCATGAAACTTTACTTGGTGTTTATTTTTAGTTTTCTGCCAGTGTTCATAGAAATAAAGAAATGATTAGATTTCAGGACCCAGACATTTACTTCATGTTTAGTTTCCTTAATAATAGAAAATATGGGAAAGTTAGCATTCATATTTTCTCATAGGCTTTTGGATCATGCTAGTGAAATACATAGTCTCTAAACTTCAAGGCAACTGAAGTTAGGGTCAAAGACTTTTAATGTAATTTTGAACATTATAATTCAAGAGCCAAGGACAAATATTTTCCAGCGTGTTGACTGTTTTTCTATACACAGCTGAAGTTTTGTGTCCTTGAACACATTTGAATGGGGTTATTTGTGGAAAGTAAAAGCATCTTGGCTTTAAAAATTAAAAAAGAAACTAAAATAATTACACTCGTTATTCAAAAAATTGGCATTTAACATCCATAACTAATTTATGTCTTATCCAGTACCTTTTTTTCCTTCAACATTTAGTTAGCAAATCCTTTTTAAGCTTAATATGTCAAATTGCAGGCCAAATGAAATTTCATCCTGTGCTGATAATGGATGTGTATAATAGCCACAAAGAGCTTTCATAAAGTATAATTTCACTGTGCACTGCCATAATACATAACCAATTTAATTTGAAACCAAGCCAGGGGTGCAGTAATATATTTATGCAACTAATATTGTTAAAATCTTAATTTCATCCTCTCTTGTTTTAAATTACAAGTTCCTCTAGAATAAAATCCACTTAGGAAGCGCCTAATGGTTTTTACTTTAGCTGTCCAGTTGTGCTAGCTTTTATACTTTCCCCATCATCTTTCCACTTACATTTTCCATGGTACACTTGAAGCATTGATGTAGAACATGTGTGGGCCTGTGTAAAATTTGCAAATTATATTTCTTAATTGTAAAATGTATATACTATATAAGTGCTTAAGTATTTGTCATCTTAAACCTTATTACATACATTATTTTAAATATAGGTTCATGTACTGTAAATTTGAATGCTACTATTACATAAAATAAATACACTTAGATTTCCAAAAACCTATATCCTATGTTTCAATCAACATGTATTAAAATATGTATTTCTAGGGGTTGAAGATAACTCAGTAGTTAAGATCACTGACTGCTCTTCCACAGGACCTGGGTTCAATTGTCAACACACACATGATGATTGACAGCCACCCATAACTATAGCCCTCTCCAGGCTTCTGCATGCACTGCACACACATGGCATCCAGACATACATGCAGGAAAACACCCATACAAATAAAATAAAAGTAAATAAATCAAAATTATTTTTAAACTTGTATTTATAGTAGTAAAAACACAATTCCCAATATGAATATATATTCATATATATTTATGTAAATTTCTTGCAATTTTAGGGTAAAAGTCTTAAGGTTATAGTGTGACTGATGTATCTTATATTTCTGTGTATAAAGTTGCCTTTGTAGTTATGGTATCATTGTTGGTACCGTGGTGCATCACTTGGATTGTAGCAATTTTTTTCTCAGTAATATACACGTTTTATTGTCCATGTCTTCACGGGATCCACCTAAATCATAACCAACTCATTCTGAAAATTACATAAGGAAGACAGGTTCTGAAGTCAAGCTAATTTAAATACATCAGCCTACCAGATAGGTATGCTGACCTTTGTATTGGAAAGTGCATTGTGGGCTTCGAAGAGTTGCTGTAGGGAGCAGGTGTGAACAAGCAGTGTGGCTATGGCTGTTGTCGCCTCAGGACACTCACAGCACCATTGACCATCATTGTCTGATTCCAAATCAAAACCAAAGAAACCTAGTGGTAAATGAAAGGATTCCCACCCTGAACGTACTATGCTCTCTAACAAATGTGTGTGTTTTCATGCTCTGCTAAGGGCATTTTACCTCAAAACTCAATTCTGAGTATACTCAGAATTTATTTGATGAATGTGATTTCAGTGAGATGAAGAGTAAGATTTGTTGACAGTATTCTTTCTATTCCAATTAGTGGCTAGTATTCAGAAGCTCCCTGCAGCCTCTGTTCTAACAGACATCAACTTCCCGATGAAGGGTCGGAAAGGGATGGTGGACTGGGCAAGAAATTCCGAAGATCGAGTCGTTATCCCTAAAAGCATTTTTACTCCTGTGTCATCAAAAGGTAATTGTGAGGACTAATATAAGCTGAGCACCAAACATTTCTGACCAGGTCACTAAGGAAATCATATATATCTTCACATATCACAAAATATTGAATCCTTTATAAGCGTGTTTGTAAACTAATTTTATAGATGTAAGCACTTGGACTTGGCCTTTAAATCAACAGATTTACTTACAGAAAGGATTTACTAAAGTGGGGAAAATAGAACCACAAACTTTTGACCTGAGTTTGGTGTGCTCTTATTTCTCTACGAATAGTTTCAGCCCCAAATAAAGCGCTTTAACTTTAGATGTGGAAATGTGATTGCATTTTCTATTCAAAGTCACTTCTTGTTGTTTGTTTATGTCTCAACTTCAAGTGCACTTTTATTTGCAGTTACTGTTTTGGCAAAAGTAACACGTGTAAGGAAGGACTAACTTCTATTAATGTCTCAAGTGCTTTCTAATATTAGCTTCAAAAGAGGCACTGTGGTCTTAAGTCTCACTTTGGTGATTCTGAACATAATCTTAATGATGTATGACTATTTCCCCTGATATCACTGAGAATTGAAAACCTTTTAATGGACTGGAAGAAGGTTCTAATCTTGGCGTTGTCAGAAAAAAGATGGATACTGATTCAAAACCATCACAAACACTGTTGTCTATAACTACATGGGCAAGGTGATGGGGCTAACTTACTGTAGGCATGACTAAGACTGAATGACTTTACGCTCCCTGTCTTTATTTTTGCCCGTGAACAAGTATTGAAATGAGCTAGTGATTACTATATCAAAGCTTATATGGTTGTGTTTTTCTGTGGTTTCACTAATAGTTTTTCACTTTATTCTTTCTAGAATTGGATGAGTCATCTGTATTTGTTCTTGGAGCAGTCCTATATAAAAACTTAGACCTCATTTTACCCACTTTGAGGTAAGCTACAAAGGAATGAGCTGTTGTAATCTTTGTAATTTGTTTTAAATGTGATTATAGTTCATTCTCTGAAATAGTCAAGATAGCTTTACTAATACAAAGGGCTTCTCAAAGGAAACAGAAAAGAGCACTTTAATGAATAGGTTATTAGCATATTATGTATTTCAAAACAACTACCAAGACAATTTTGGTATCTGATTAAAGCCCCATTACTCTTTTGTAACTAATCATGACTGAAAATTAGAAAGTAAAGAATAAAAAATAAAGCCTCACTACCCTCTAATAGAATGGGTCATTGTAAAATTCATGTCTTCTCCTTTTCTTTATACTTAATGATGCTTTTCTCTGCATTATAGGAAATTAGAGAAACTTGGTCTTGTTCTTCATTTGCACAAGATCTCAGTTTGCTTCAAAATAAAATTTCAATTACAGCTACATTCTCAATCAGAAACTATTTTTGGAAGAAATCCATCTATTTTTTCTCTCTTAGATATTAAAAACAGTTCAATTAATAATTCCACCAACATTCATCCCTGTGTTCTAGTGTCTTACCCACTTTATTAAATTGTACAGAGAATATCATTTGCATCTATTTGCATAGTGATCTTATTACTCAGGGTGACTTACTTCCTGACAGCACCTCATGCTCAAGGATGGAGACCAAGTTTTATTTTGGTTAACACAGCCATACTTACTTTGAGTTCTCCCCGCATACCCTCATAAATAAAGCCTTATGTTTTTTTGGGAGGCTAACATATGAATAATGTGTGCAGTTTTATCAGAGGCATAGCAAACAGTCTAATAAATATAAACAATTAGAGTTTAAGCCAGCCCAAAATGGCCTCCTAACATGATAGCAGACACAGGTTATTATTCTTTGCAGACATTCTCTCTGCTCATTACTAATGCAGGTACTGGGCCATGTTTGATGTGTAATCTCTCCCAACCACAGAGACCCCTCTCTGGATTGAATTTGGACTTGCTCATTTGGGTAGATCTGAGTTGGGTTGTACTCTGTTAAAAAAAAAATATTTTGAAACTAGTAAGTTTTTTCTAAGCCTTTCAACTGGCTTTGTATGTATAGCTACAGCTTTAAAAAAAACAAAACAAAACAAAAAATGCCTGTAAAAGTCAAAAAAAAAAAACAACCCAATGTTTCCCAGGGTTTAAAGTGCCCAGAAAAAGGTAGATTCTTATTTCCAAAGAGAGCTCATTTTATCACATTTATCACTGAAGAATTCTCATCTAGACACTACCAGGTAACTAGTTTTTAAAAGCCTGAGCATTTTAAAAAGCTTCCAAAGCTTCTCTAGTTGCTCAGTAATTTACTTCATCTGTCTTCGGCTCAACTTTAAATAGAAACCCTTCATGGATGATGCTTGTACTCCTTGCTGCTGAGATCTACAGGGAATACAAAATAAATATCCAACATAAGAGACTAGAGGGATTAATTCCTTGATTGTTACGATCATTTCCTTCCTAAAAGGGCCAACAGAGTTGCACGGTTAATCCTGTTCTTAATAATATAATTAAATATTATCTCATGTACAATGAGGAAGACACATTGTTCCATTTCAGAAATCAATTTAGTCAAGAAAATTGGAAATTTGTCTAGGGATATGCCATTTTTGCAAAAGAAAAAAAATTGTGGTTCAACTTTTTTTTAAGTTGTGGCAAAGACAGTTGAATCTTATGATGTAGAAATGGAGTTCATGGTAAGTTGTTAAGTGAACGGAGCAGAGATTCATCTGGAAGGCTGGCTGTCCTAACCCACTTGTGATCCAGATGGATTCAGCTAGGCCCTGGGGCAAGTTACTGTGCTTTTATATGTAAAATATGGGAGTTGATTTTCAATTCTTTTCAACTTCAAACATTCTTTATTATTGTAGAAGGTAACTGTTTTTTTCTATAGACTGAGGACCTTAGTTACCTTTGTGTAAGAGTTTGAAGTAAATGACAAGTGCAAAGTCACAGGCGGATAAAGAGATAATGTGTTTTTCTGCACAACTGATTGGCTGTAGATTATAATTAAGACTGCTTATTTAAAAATGACTGGAAGAAAAGATTTGGAATGTTCTCTTCACAAAGTATTCGTGTTTTTAAATGATCAATATATGAATTATTCTGTTAGAACATTACACTTGTAAACAATATCGAAACATCTCCTGTTCCTCATGAATCCATACAGTTATGTCGAGTGTTTAGATGCTAAGCATTACTTGTAGTTATCAGTAAGTGACCGTAGGAGACACTTATATGTCAATCATCATTATCCAGAGATGAAGTTCGTAGCAATCTTGGGATGAGACATCTGCTTAAGTGTTCTTTGAATGGAAAAATCCTAGTGTTTGGTTTTCATTTTTAGTTACTTAATGTCAGAAATATATCCACTAAGCACTCACAGTGCTGTTTTTTCACGTTTGAAAATTTTTTCACATATGTAAAATGAATTGTTATGGTCTCAGAATTTTGTAATTTGGTATAATTGTTTTCTAACAAAACTACTAATTATGAAAGATGGCTATTTATAATGTTTCAAATAAACATCATTAAGAATGTTTCCTGCATATTAGAGCATAGATTAAATTTGTATGCTCTTTTTAAATTTATATAGGTTTTTTCCCTCTTGCCTTAATGTGCACACCACTCTTCTTCTGTCTATGATTTTTGTTTTGCTACTGGACTGTCTGCCTCTTTAAAATTGAGAAATTTCACAGCTAGTGAGATGGCTCAGCCTGGAAGCAGTCCTGATGACCTGAGTTTGAACTGTGACGGGAAGAAGAGGAGTGATACCTGAAAGCTATCCTTAGACCTCTACATAGATGCTGTGGCATGTTCTCTCTCTCTCTCTCTCTCTCTCTCTCTCTCTCCACACACACACACGCACACACGCACACACGCACACATGCACACACGCACACATGCACACATGCATACACACACACGTACCCAAACACGTACACACAATGAATAAAACCTTTTTTTCACAACTAAAATTTAAAATTGAGACAGCTTGAATGGTTCCTTCAAGTAAAAGTAAGCTCCAATTGAGTCTATATGATATAGGTGCTGGTTTTTGCACCCTACTCTCATCCTTTTTTAAGACAATTTCTTTTTGTTCTATTTATTTATTTATTAATTAAAAATTTCCACCTCCTCCCCACCCCCTTTTTCCTCCCCCTCCCCACCTCCCTTCCCTCTCTAGTCCTAAGAGCAGTCAGGGTTCCCTGCCCTGTGGGAAATCCAAGGTCCTCCCCCCCCCACATCCAGGTCTATAAAGGTGAGCATCCAAACAAACCAGGCTCCCACAAAGTCAGTCCATGCAGTAGAATCAAAACCCAGCGCCATTGTCTTTGGCTTCTCAGTCAGCCTTCATTGCCAGCCACATTCAGAGTGTCCATTTTGACCACATGCTCTATCATTCCCAGTCTAGCTGGCCTTTTTGAGCTCCCATTAAATCAGTCCCACCATCTCAGTGGATGGATGCACCCCTCGTGATCCTGACTTCCTTGCTCATGTTCTCCCTCCTTCTGCTCCAGAGGAAATAAACTCTTAAGACAATTTCTTATAGCTAAAAGTTGTTAGACAACCCATGTAGGTGTAGTGGTTCAGTACTATAATTCTATCTTACAACAGACATTGAGAGTTTGAAGACACTCTAGGCCACATGGCACAACTCTGAGTCACAAAATACACGTTTCTTTTCTCTTGTGTGTCCCAGGAGAGGACTATAGGTGGGCAATCTTAGGTTGCCCTGCCGGTAACAGTCTGGATTGGCATGACCAAGGCCTAGATTTTCCATTTCTTGACCCCCTTCTGGGAGGCTAGAAGGTTAAGTCTGTCAACCTAGACCACAGGGTCCACTGAGGGAGCTGATAAGCTGTGAAAAGACCCCTACTCACATCCAAAATTTCCTGTCTTCGGCCTGGCTAGCTCAGAAACTGCTGTAGAAAGTTTATATCATGCTCTTAAATTTTTAGAGGCCAAGTTGGCAATGCCAAGAAACTAAGAAATGTTATTTTTTTTGATGTTGCCATTCTACTTCTAAAAATTTATCTTAAGAAAATTATGTCTAAGAAAAAGAATAGTCTATCCAAGGATACATCAAGCCACGAATTCTACAAAGACTTGTAAACAATCATTTAATTTATCAGGCTCCAAGTTTTTTGAGGAAACCATGACTCCTGAGTATGTGAAGAATGGTAAGACATAGGGAAATGAAATCATGTATTTAATGCATTTTAATGTTTATATTAACATGTGAAATAACAAAAGGAGTCTAACTAGAGTTTTATTAAATTCCATTTCATTGAATTTATTAATGTGATTTTATTACAATTTTATTAGATTGCATTGCAGTATTAAAATGCTAGGGAAGGGCTGGTGCCTGTCTCAGCAGTTAAGATCACGTGATACTCTTCTCACGTCTGGAGACTGATTCCTGCACCCAAGCCTGGTGACTCATAACTATCGATAACTCAAGATCCGGGACTCTGCTGCCTTCTTTCAGTCTCTGAAAGCTCTGCACTTACATGCACAAACCCACATGCAGACACACACATACAAACGTCATTTAAAAAAATATTTAAATAGTAAAATCAAGTGTTAAAATTTGCTGCATGAAATAAATAAAATGCCAGAGACAAAATGTGGAAGAATAAAGAGCTACAATGTTTTTCAGAAATCATATACAATTATCTTTGAGAAAAGAAATTAAACATAAATGGGAAAGAATCTGGAGAGATGGCTCAGAGGTTAAAAGCAATGATTGCTCTTCCAGAGGACCTGAGTTCAATTACCAACAACCACATGGTGGCTCACAACCATCTATAATGAGATCTGGTGCCCTCTTCTGGCAGGTGGGCATACATGCTAGCAGCACATTGTATGCTTCAGAAACAAACGGGAAGAGAAAATTATCAAAATATTACTAGAAATAATAGAAGCAAAGATGATCACTTTTACTCCCAAGCATTCAGAAAAGAGCTTGAACTGTCAGC